CTTGCATGGCTTGGACTTCAAGGAAGCCCCTTACGACAGGCTCGACGTTGGTCCCCAGGATCAAGGACTGGCGTACTCTTTGAGTGCCTTATACTTCAAGTACGCTCTCATGGAGCTGATCCAGAACTCAACGTCCTCCTTGCCGTCATACTTAGATGGTATCATCACCGCCTTCCTGTCCATGTATGGACTGCCATAGCTGGGTCCAGCTATTGCTGCTGGATCCGATCCCAGGGCTGCGGCAGTTGCTGAACTTCTTGCACTGCCGCTGGTAACGACAGTGGGAACTGCACCTGTCGCAGGTCCTGACTGAATCACCAAACTCATCGAAGAAGACTGAGAAGAACGAGAGGAATGGAGGGGTGCAAAGGTAGAACGAGGAAGAGAACTTGAGAGTGGGGTCTGATGCATGGCTGCCATTTGCTGTATCTGATCGCGGTGCTCTTTGGCGATGTCTGCCATTTGAGTACGCATCATACTCATTTCCTCCAGTAACTGGGACTTCACACTTGGAAGTTCGCTGAGCAAGTGGTAATCAACAAGAGCACGTACATACACAACCAGATCTTTCTTAAGGTCTGCATCAGATACATTCCGAACCATTTGAAAAATGGCCTCAAGTTCATCAACGACTGTTTTTTGCTTCAACCAACTCTTTCTGACAGAGGGCCTCATACAACGGTCTATCATTCTCATTCTCTGCATCCATGCGGACCTTTAACATATCCGAAAGTGTGGCTGGTGCCATGTTGGAACCACTAGTTCCTTCAATTGCCATGGCTTCTCTTGTCCTTTTCTCTTGTCCGCGCGTCTCAACGGGCATGTAGAAGAAACAGACTGAAAGTACAGAGAAGAAGATAGAACTCCTAGCCGGAGCGGCAAATATTTGGACTAGAGAGCAACCAATAAAAACAAATCAAAGAATACAATGTTCAGAAGAGAGTTTCGGTTCCGCGTTCAAGTTCGGTTAGACCAAGTACAAGATCCCCTTGAGCCTAATCCAATCGGCACCGTCAAAGTACAGCAAGCCAGACTACAAGTAACATCATACAACAATGGAGAATTGAGTGGTGTATAAGGTGCAGGTCAAGTATTGGATTGTGTGTCATCAGTCTGACAAAGCATCTCAACCGAGATCCCCTCGGCAGCAAGGGCTCTAATAAAAAAGAAGATTACCGTATCCCAGACAGAACAGAGAGCGACACTGCGTCAACAGATTTGGGTCCCATGGGCCCTTCTTGTTTGGGCCCAGTCCCACTGGGTCCCACTGGGTCTCAAATAGGTCGTGACCAAGTCCCAACCAAGGAGAGTACCTCAAGGTCCTACTTTCTGCCTCTACCGTATTGAAAAACGAATTTCGACTTCAAGCGAGAACCTATAGACTACATCCATTCACAGATGAAAAGACAAAGCACTGTCGAAAGATGTGGCTTTCAAAGTAAGATACTTCATTTCTACATCCAGAAGGTTAGTAAGTAGTAAGCACACCAATGCACACAACCAAGACTACAGAGGAGTAGGAAAGAGACCCAGAAGTACCCCAACAGGACAATCAATACCATGCACGCATACATGGGCGACCCTTAGGTGCACGACACTTACCTGAGTGGCCCGGAATATGAGATGAAGTATAACTTACCCCCCTTCCTTATGTAGTCTTCCTAACCCTATTCACTACGTCTACACTAGTGTCCTATCATATAGGAGGGTTTCACTTCCGACACCAATGTGCAACGCCGGATCCCCCGCCGATGCTGAAGAACAAAGTAGTAACTCGTAGATGCAGAATGGCTACTTCCCTCAAGATCGCCTACTTGACGGAAGCCCTCAAGTCACCAAGTGTCTCCCTTAGGTCAGATTCCAGGTGCGAGTGCCTCTCACTGCCGCCTCTCTCAACTTGTCGCATGAAGTCCTCTTGATGTGTCTCGCCACCACTTACATACTCACAATCAACCTGGTCAGGTTCAATGTCGACCCAGCATGACCTAGCCAGGTGGGGGCAGCTTCCCTAAGCCACGCTGCCCCACTTCCCACTTCGAACCAACCCTAACCCTAAGTGGTTAGCCCTTACCGCTTAGGTTAGGGTTAGGGTGGGTAAGAAGAAGAAGAAAGAAAGAAGAAGAAGATGATGTACACCAGCATCATAGGTCGCAAAACCATTTTTTTTCCTACTCATATCCGGCGCAACCCAAGCCTTGATGTATCATATCTAGTCGGACCCATATGAACACAATTTTTTTGACCCAGACCCAGCCCACCCACGCTAATTTAATTTTTTTTCTACCCGCACCCAGCCCACCCAGGGTGATTTAAAAATTGTCTTCCCATACCCAGCCACACCCAGGCCAATTTTTCGTTCAACCTCATCCAACTGCACCTGAACCGAGTATCCATCCACCCGTGCCCAACCGTACCTGTGCCCAAAATTTTCCACCCAGGCTTAGTTTGATCTTTATTTTAAACTTAGGCCTTTGCATGTCGGATTCTTTAGCTTTCATCCACAAATCTCCACTTTGAATTTTGGCGGGGGCAATGGGCCAGTGGCTGGGGATACTCACAGGGATACCTTCTTGTCTACAGTTGGCCGCATCTACAGCCAGATTTCGATGGATCTGACCGCAATTATGGCCAGAGCTTATAAGTGAATGCCGTATTCCCTAAGATGAAACGACTGGGGCCAGGCCGAGTTAATAGTACGGCCTGGCCCTAGTACTACCTCGTCCGTAAGATAACGACAGATGGCCAGAGACAAATTTATACTAGGGGCACGCCCCACTAGCACCACTATTTCCCAGTGAAGAAAAAGGGTCAGGCCTGGCCCTAATACTACGGTAACCTAGGCTTGCCTAATATGCCGAGCATGCCTACAGGCCTCGGGTCACCCGCGCGAAACCTCTACCCGGCCGTACCCGGAACCAGGGCAAACCTTTGCCCGACCGTAACCGTCCAGGCACTGTGTCAACACCCAGCCCCACCCACCCTACAGTTTCCTGCCCCGGCCATATCCCCCCCTCAGATTTCCAGACCCAGCTGTCCCCGTGCGTACTAATCATGCCATACCCGCACCCGTCCAGAACTGTCGGGTACGGCTGGGTCCGGTCGGGTCCGGTCATGGCCACCCAATGTCAACCTCTGACCAGCATAGACAAATGGCAAATCTCTTCTTCTTCGTCCAACACTCTTCTCCTCCTTTACTCCTCTCTTATTCATACAAGAAATAATAGTACAATGTTGAATGGCTGATCCAGAATCATGTCGGAGTTCCTCTTCTACTCTAGGTATCACTTGAGGTCCACGATAGCCATGGCCGCCTCCGTCACTCTTCACTCTCATAGGCCGAGGCTATGGCGGACTACTGGCCTTGCCCTGATGTCCAAAGGACAACCCAAACCAGCTATGGCTGCTCCAGCTCAGGCCGCCATGCCTGACTCTGCCTTGAATCTTCTTGGTGTGGCTCTACCCCCGCTGGGGTCTTCCTGCTGCAGCGCCCACCAAGGTGATGAAGATGGCTGCCATCATAGCCAGGTAAGTACCTCTGGCGCTCCCCCTTCCCCCTGCTCTTCTTCCTCCTTCGTGTTCTTGCTTCTTCCCCAGCAGCGCTGCTCCAAGCTAGCGCTGCTCCAGCCAGCGCTCCAACCAGTGTGTCGCCAAACTTGCACACCGACAATGAGGCTGGGCTCTTCGCCCGGCCTGGAGATATAGTGGCCTGCTTGCCTCTTGGGCGGTGACTTCCGCCTTCCCAGCAACCGGTACCTCCTCCCTTTCGGAGAGAATCATCATTGCAGACTCTGATATTGCCCGTACAGGCCCTAGACTCAGACTGGTTCGAATGGTACCCGCCTAGACCTAGCCTACAACTACTGGGCCTCTCAAAATGCCACTTTTGTCTTCTTCTGCTCGGCCTCCAGTACCCGCACATCTAGCTCTTCAGGGTGCGGTACCAGCCTACCTGCTACTTGAGTGTTTTCCCCCCGCTGCAATCCCTCAATGTCACGGCCACAGGTAAGTACCAGCCCTGAGGGCCCAACGAACGGACAAGTACCCTTGCGGGTCACACACACACTCGAGCCAACCAGCACTCAGACAGACATGCAGCCAGCAAGCATGCACACACACACAGACATGCAGAACTTAGTGGCAAGCGGGAAACTCAGCAAGGCATTCAGTCCGTGAGCAAAACTCAGAAATCAGCTGTGTGTCTCAGTCCGTGTTTGGTCGGGTCATCACAAAGAAGAAAAAGGTGTTTGGAAAAAAGGAAGAGCGAGACGAAAAACGTGTCGTAAGAGAAAGGTACGCGTCACTTTTTTTTTTTTTTTAACTCTTTTTTTTCTTCTTTTTGTTTGTGTGTGTGTGTGTGAGAGAAAGAGAAAGGCATGATTACTTTCCCCGACATGTCTGGCTCTCTCTCTCTCCCTCTCCCTCTCTCTCATCCCTTCTTCCCTTCCTCACCCAATAGGTGGATGAGATGGATCAGTCGATCTCATCCAGCTAGGGAGAGAGAGAGAGAGAGAGAGAGAGAGAGAGAGAGAGAGAGAGAGAGAGAGAGAGAGAGAGAGAGAGAGAGAGAGAGAGAGAGAGAGAGAGAGAGAGAGAGAGAGAGAGAGAGAGAGAGAGAGAGAGAGAGAGGAAGCTGACCCTTGTTCGTCGTGGGGATGGGGACGAGGAGGACAACGTGGCGAAGCAAAAGGGGGTGGTGGAGGTGAGGAAGCTGTGGGGGATGGATTTATCGAGCAGAGGATGGCGTGGCAGACCAGGAGGGCACGAAGGGGAAGGGCATGGCCATATCGACCGTTCTGTTTTCAGTTTTTTGAACTTTTTTTCGTTTTTTTTTTATTTTTATAATCCTGTGGAACTGTAAGGCTCTGTCACCTTTCTAATTCTGCTTTTTTTTTTTCCCGTTGCTGAATAGACTGGGAAACAGGGATACCGTCGATGATGAGCTTGATCTCTTTCAGAGGAATAATTGCCTCCCTGTTCGAGCTCTGTTGCTCTGTTGTCAGAGTGCCACGAGGTGGCCCCAAGGGTCCCAATGAATTGCACGGAAAGAGACTAAAAGAGAAAGGCAGAATAAGCAAAACGGGTTGGCGGAAGAGGTGGGAGAAGATTGATAGGAGCGGCAGAGGAGGCAGAAGCAATGGAGGTGGAGGGATTCTGGAGGAGCAGGAGGTGGAAGCTGGCTCACGTTTGCGGAGGACGGGGATGAGGAGGATGACATGGCAAATGAAGAGGGCCGTCGGAGGTGGCTTCCGGAGGATGAGGAGGAGGAAGAGGTTCAGAGTGAATGCAGTCAGAGCCCAAGGATGCATCGGTCATGGGCACTTGGTTGCCAATCTCTCTCTCTCTCTCTCTCTCTCTCTCTCCTTTTCACCACACACACACACACACACACACAGCCTTCTGCCTCTGATCTTCTCTTCCCTGCTCCCTGTTCACTCACTCTCTCCCTCCTTTCCGCTCGAGGATCAGAGTCGATCAAATCTTTTTGCATTGCTACAGAAACGCGTATGTGATGAGGAGTCCTTCAGGAGAGAGACACCACCTTCTCCTGAGTATAGAGCATCGCTGTGAGTTGTTCAAGCTCTTCAGCTAGGAAAGAAAAAACTTCGATGGCATGGGGAGGCAGGTCACAGTGAGTAGGAAGAAACACGATGGGAGCAGGAGGACGGGCATCTTGGCTTACCATCCTTTCTTTGTGCTCTCTCTCTCTCTCCCTCTCTCTCCCTCTCTCTCTCTCTCTCTCTCTCTCTCTCTGCACTGGAACTCGTTGAAAAGCAGCGCCATCACCAACTTTGCAGGCCATCACTTTCTCAAACCCTTTCCCATGCTCGAGAAAGGCAAGGTGAACTTGGGGAGGTAGGGAAGTGGACTCCCTACCCAGCGCTTCTGATGGCAAGATGTCAGTGCACACTTGACCTGCTGTGTCCATTGACTTTGTGGTTTACTCAAATCCACAGCTGCAGAGGGAGGCTGTGCCACAGGGACGTTGGGAGTCACTCGCGCTTTGCTTCGGTCATGAGAGCCGCCTTTGGGATCAACCAACAGCGCACAACCCTCAGCATCATCAGGCAATGGAGAGGGACCAGGCAGGCCGTGAGAGATTTCTAATGCCACCATGCGTGGAGCAGTGGCCAATGTCACCTGCATCCGGCCTGCAGCTGGCTTGAGCGGTTCGCAGAGAATCAGGGATGGGGACACTTGAGGCTACCAGTCCATGAAGCAACCTTGGCAGGTCAGTTGGATCCTGTGTGCAAGGAACAAACATGGCATTCATGATGACCCACATATCTCACAGCACAAAGTCTTGAGCATATCAATTTCTAATTGAACTCAATGCGAAACAGTGAGAACAACAAATAGAAACTATTTATCAGAAGTGTGAGGATTGAGCCCTCAAGTAGGAGCCTTGCCATGATGTACATGTTCTGGGCTAAGGCCCCAGCAAGCCTCGTGCCCGCCCTAAGTGAAGGCGGGCCAGCAAATCAACAAGAGCCCTCTGTGCCAACATTTCACGAAGTGGGGTCCATACAGTTGCAGCACGCCAGTTGGTTGGAGTGCACCGAGTCTCGGATTTCAGCAAATGCTGAAAACCCAGGGCATCTGAGTTAGTTAGGCCCTGGGTACTTGAACGTGAGGCCGACAATGCATGCTGGGTATAGAGGCCGAAAATGCCAAAGGGAAATCGGCCCACTATCTGAATCTGGCCGCAGGCCTTGACGAAAGAGGTGCAACTGCATGCCCCGGGCCTCAACTGTATCGGGCTGGGTTCAGCCACTGGGGCCCAGACGCAGGCTGAAGGGAGGCCGCCCATACGCAGCACTGGCATATAGGCAAGCAGAGCGAGTGGGCAGGCATCCTGGCCAATGCAGGCATTGCGGGCACGCTGCGCTAATGCATGTGTGCTGCGCTGTGCAGAGCTGCGCTGCGCTGAGGTGAAGCAGGCTAGCGCTAGGCGGTAGGGCGCTGCCTGCACACAGGGCACTGGCGGCCATAGCCGGGCCGCATGAGGGTGCAGCGGAGGTGAAGGGCGAAGGTGGTTCTTCGGAGGTGAAGGGCGCTGTGTGGGTACAAGGGAGAGTGTGGGTGAAGAGGACACGTACCTGGTGGAGGTGGAGGTCGGCATTGGTGTTGACATCATCACTCGCTGGTAGTCAAGTTGTCTGGTTGCTTTCATTGCTGTAGTTGTAGGCTAGGCTGTAGAGTAGATAGGGCGCCTGGCGCCATTCGCAAGAGAGAGCTACATTGGGTTATGCTGTTGGTGTTGCCCTGTTGGGCATGGACATTGACTCACGATTCTTCTGTATCATTCTCAATTGGATGGTTACTCGGTTCCATTGTGCTATCTGCTCTGGCTTTGACTTCTTGGACTTCAGTGTGATTTTGCATTCTGGATTTCTGTGCTTCGTCCATATTCATGTTCCTTGCAATTTGGTATCGGAGCTGGTATGATTCGCCACTTACCTTTGGCACGCTGGCGTTATACAGACTTGGTGCGTTGACGATGCTTCTTCGCAGTGGGCACTTGTGACGTCAGCCCACATATAGGCGCACGCTCTGGGTTGAGAGGGGTGCGTCGGAAGGCTAAGACGGTAGTGTATGCCGTGGTGACATGCGGAATGTATGATTGGTGATGAGAGCATGCTGATGTGGCATTCGGCTGAGGTGGCACTGCATTGCGTTGTGGGTGGTAC